AGCCAAATCTGCCCCACAGGGCTAGTCCAAGATACTTTGCTTCCTGAAAAAGCGTCCCTTCACCACAAAGCAAAGAGTAAGGTATCCCAGGCCCTCCAACTGCCCCAGTTTTCCAGGGACAGGCCTGGATTTACAGAAGCCATCCTGGTTTCTGATTTGATGCCAGAATTTACCACCTTTCCTTAGGACGTCCCTATTTTCATTGGAGAAATGTTGGAGGGTATAGAGTTATGCGACCCCAGAACTAAGGAGATGAGTAACTATACAACCTTCAGAAGACAACAGGAGGAAGCCCTGTATAGGGATTTTTTAAAAAATATTTAATGTTTTTATTATGTTTTTATACATGTTGGCCCAGTTAGATGGGTGGGATATTATTATTATTATTATTATTATTATGGAGTAGGATTTCCCTATTTTCATCAAAGACTTGTCGGAGGGTATGCAGGCCAGTTATTTTGGTCTACAAAAATCCCCCAAGTACCTATTTTCCATCCCTGGCAGCAAAATAATAAATAATAATAATAATAATAATAATAATAATAATAGGCCTTTAGACTGATCCAAGAGGGCTCTTCTTACGTTCTTAAATTATGGTCCAGCAAAGGTTGATTATATTAAATATACGAGTGGAAAGGGTAGCGAGCCGGAGTTTTGTCTGAGAGTGTCTTCCAGTTAGGAGACAAATTGCTCAGACTGAAGAGGAAGCCTTTGGGCTGAGCTACTTTTACAGGGTTGAGTTGGATAGGTTCCTGAGTCACCTGTCTTGCTCCAGATTCAACTGATGCAGCTTGTAATGCTGCCTATGTAATGCTCCTTGGTAGCACAGTTCTGCAATTCCATCTGCAAGCATGTTGTTGTCTCAGTGGTACAGGAGATAACGCTGCCAGGAACCCTTGTGTGAAATCCCCCTTGCAGTGGTGTAGCATGTATTGCTAGAGCCCAGGGCCACACAGAAGGAAATTGACTGACAACGGATGCGTATTCAACTGCCTAACAGCGTCTGCATCACCCAGGAGATCACAGAGATAAGAAAAGAAGAGCAAGTCACTTACTCGGTCCCAGGGAGAAGCCATTTTCAACTGAGCCCAGCAATGGAAGCACGCAGTTGTATTGAGACAGCACTGGGAATCAAAATTTTGAGCCCCTAACAATTTTGTCCCCGGGGCAACTGCCCCTGTGGTGCCCACCGACCCCATGCCACAGCCCCCAGTACATTGCAGAGAGGTTTGTTGGCATCCTGTGCTAGGGAAATGCTGCGAACCTCTCCAAAAAACTTCCCTGCTAGACATTTAAATCATCCCAGAACACCCCTGTAATTCAAATTGTCCTGTTGTTGGAGACACCAAGTCATTCCAGCAACATTTTAAATACTGGAGAAAGGAGCCGTTAACAACAACAACAACAACAATTTATTATTTGTACCCCACCCATCTGGCTGGGTTTCCCCAGCCACTCTGGACGGCTTCCAACAAAGACAAAAAATACACTAAAATGTCACACATTAAAAACTTCCCTGAACAGGGCTGCCTTCAGATGTCTTCTGAATGTCAGGTAGTTGTTTATCTCTTTGACATCTGATAGGAGGGCGTTCCACAGGGCAGGCGCCACTAACGAGAAGGCCCTTTGCCTGGTTCCCTGCTTCTTGCAATGAGGGAACCACCAGAAGGCCCTTGCTGCTGGACCTCAGCGTCCAGGCTGAACGATGGGGGTGGAGACGCTCCTTCAGGTATACTGGGCCGAGGCCGTTTAGGGCTTTAAAGGTCAAGCCCAACAATTTGAATTGTGCTCGGAAACGTACTGGGAGCCAATGTAGGTCTTTCAAGACCGGTGTTATGTGGTCTCAGCGGCCGCCCCCAGCCACCAGTCTAGCTGCCGCATTCTGGATTAGTTGTAGTTTCCGGGTCACCTTCAAAGGTAGCTCCACATAGAGCGCATTGCAGTAGTCCAAGCGGGAGATAACTAGAGCATGCACCACTCTGGCAAGACAGTCTGCGGGCAGATAAAGTCTCAGCCTGCGTACCAGGTGGAGCTGGTAGACAGCTGCCCTGGATACAGAATTGACTTGCGCCTCCATGGACAGCTGTGAGTCCAAAATGACTCCCAGGCTACGCTCCTGGTCCTTCAAGGGCACAGTTACCCCATTCAGGATCAGGGAGTCCTCCACACTAGCCTGCCCCCTGTCCCCCAAGAACAGTACTTCTGTCTTGTCAGGATTCAACCTCAATCCATTAGCCACCATCCATATAATTTTATTTATACCCTGCCCATCTGGCTGGGTTTCCCCAGCCATTCTGGGTGGCTTACAGCATATTTATAAAGCATATCTGCCTCCTTTCCCAGTTACCCCCTTCTGTGTGAAACCCTCTTGTGCTGTGGAAATGGGGCAGGCAGTACTTTGTGGAAAAGAGAGGTCATGTCCCAGCTTGGGAACAAGATTGGGGCATGTCGAACTGCTACCTTGCCATTGGCACAGAGACACTTGACGTCAGATCCTATAGACCCCCAACCAGGCTGGCATATGGGAGGAAGAAGGCTGGCAACCCTAAGTCATAAAGAAAAAATATATATAGATATCAGATCTTTCTAAAGCCTTGAGATTTAATCTTGCTCCAATGAACTGGGTGATGCATTAAAAATGTAACTGCTTATCTCAGCTTCAGCTTACTCGCTGAAGTGGATGAGTGAACTTTGCACAGCTGGGTGTGTTTAAAGTAGTTAAACTGTAACATAGGTTGAAAAGGGTCCCGTACTATCCCCTTGGCTCCTCTTGTGTAAATTATTACTTTGTATAAAACTGTTACAGCTAGGTCTGGCTTTTTAAAACAATAACGTTAATTGGATATACGGCGTAGAAGGACCAAGCTCAGACTCTGGGTATTATTATTTTTAAAAGAAAATAAATGAATGCATTGTCTTAATGGGCACATAAAGGTAAAGGTAAAGGGACCCCTGACCATTAGGTCCAGTCGTGACCGACTCTGGGGTTGCGGTGCTCATCTCGCTTTATTGGCCGAGGGAGCCGGCATACAGCTTCCGGGTCATGTGGCCAGCATGACTAAGCCGCTTCTGGCGAACCAGAGCAGCGCACAGAAACGCTGTTTGCCTTCCCGCCGGAGCGGTACCTTTATCTACTTGCACTTTGGCGTGCTTTCGAACTGCTAGGTTGGCAGGAGAATGGGCACATACCTTACAACAATTAAGCAGGCCATCACATTATTTTTGTCCCATGGTTTATACCAAGGATGAAGAACCCTCAGTCCTGTTAAGGGGTCTCTGTGAGAAGTAATCTATAGTTCCTCATATTCTTTGAGGAAAGTCATGTGCTTTAAATATAAGGTGTGCACACAGCCCAGTTATCTAATGACGGTAACTAATTATAGGTAAAAGTAAAGGTAAAGGACCCCTGGATGGTTAAATTCAGTCAAAGGAAACTATGGAGTTGTGGCGCTCATCTCGCGTTCAGGCTGAGGGAGCTGGCGTTTGTCCACAGACAGCTTTCCGGGTCATGTGGCCAGCATGACTAAACCGCTTCTGGTGCAATGGAACACCGTGACAGAAACCAGAGTGCACGGAAACGCTGTTTACTTTCCTGCCACAGTGATACCTATTTATCTACTTGCACTGGTGTGATTTTGAACTGCTAGGTAGGCAGGAGCTGGGACAGAGCAACGGGAGCTTACCCCGTCGCAGGGATTCGAACTGTCAACCTTCTGATCGGCAAGCCCAAGAGGCTCAGTGGTTTAGACCACAGCGCCACCCGCATCCTACATATATTAACTCTGTGATATTACAGAGTCTGTGGCCATATTAACTGATACCGGTGAGAAATTGGCGAAATGGGGAGATGTGTTTTTAGAGCCTTAAACGTGCCCAGTGCCTCTCGTTTATTGAGACTTAACACAACAAGTAGTGTTTCTGTAGTTTTAATAATTAGAGATGGTAATGTTGTGGTTCTTTGGCCCCAGGAAATGAGAGGCACTGGATATTTTCAGGAGTAAAAAATAGCTTTAAATTCTTGCCCCTGTTTGACGTGCTGGGGCCTAATTTGGCAATGTTTTAAAGCAGTTTCTCCTTGATAAGAAAGCTTTTCCGTGAACCTTCGGCATTTGCGCTAGAAGAATGTAGAATGACTGCCCAGGGACTCTCTCTCAGCTGCTCCTTGTTTATCAGGGAACAAAGGCTTTTTCATATGTTTTAAAGTGGTTCAGAGAAGGTCTGGGATTAGCAAACATGGAGTAAAACTGGGCCACTCTAGTGAAGTGTGGCAGAGATCTGAATTTACAAGCTTTTGCCCTTGACATAGAAACCTAGCCCAGCTCAAACAATATCAGGTTTTTGGAGAGATAAGCTCAAGTTCATTTCAGCTGAATTACTGTAAGACTGAAATATTGAGAGAATTACATTTCCCATAATCCCCTGTGTTCAGCAAACACTATGCGCAAGAAATTGTGCACATTTATTAAATTATTTATTGAATTTATTGAATTTATATACTGGAGGTCTCAGGGCGGTTCCCAGAACAAAATCAAAATATAAAACCACAAAAAACCCACATGTTGTGATGGTCCTGACAGACCTTCTTACTCAGCCTGATAAGCTTCAGGAAAGGGTGTTGTGGTAATGACAGCTCCTAAAATCATGGTGGAGACTGAGGACAATAGGCCCTACTCCCCAAATATTTATTATTATTGTTTTATTTTTTAAGTAATTAATATTTGGGGACACCGTTGACATTTGGTCAAGACTGGAGGCCTGAACCACCTTGGACCCAATCCATGTCCAAATTTTTGTATGTTTTGTATGTAGTTTATCCAATTATACTGAATTAATTCAAGAGTAGGCTTGGGTGATCTTACCCTTCATTAAACATCTGTGTGATTTGAGTTGGTCATTGTTTTCCGACTCTTGGTAAATTATTTCATTATTGGAACTGATAAATTCTAATTAACACCCTCAACAATCCAAGTACAATAGAGTTTCTTTATTAGTCAACAAGAGTTCATTTAACAAAGAGCAGCACAGAATTGATTAGACTCCACCATGGTTTTCCCTGATTTACTGAAGCTTTCCAGTCTAGGTCTGGATCTGTAACCCTGCATTCACCAATTCTGGTCCAAATGATTTGGGCTGGGCTGGAGCATTATTCACTTCATATAGATCTTGAGAGGGTAATATAGGTTATGGTTAAAAACATATCCTACTTTATATACTCAAGTCAACCAGCCACATTCCTCTTATAGAATTTAAGTATCTCCATTCTGTATTCCAAGATATCAGTTCTCAACTGTCATGAGTGGTCATCTAAGGAACATAGGAAGCTACCATAAAATGAGTCAGACCTTAGATCAGTCTTGCCTGCAATGACTGCCGGTGGCTCTCTAGGGTTTTAGACAGTCCTTCTTCTCCCAGCCCTACCTAGAGATGCAGGAGATTGGACCTAGGACTTTCTGCATGCAAGACAGATGCTCCATCACTGGGGCCTATGAACATACATCCAATCCTGCCATTGTATGTAATCTTTCCAGGAGCACAGAGGTGAGTAACAGCTAGGCATGATCCTTAAGATGATGGAGGAGTGCTTATGATCCATACTGTGCAGCTGGTTCTTTAAACATTTTCTGTGATCCAGATAAATGTACAATGGATGTGGTTCGGAACTTTATTGCATCAAATGGTTGGGCCCAAATAATGGCTACCAACCCTGCTACAACATACAGTGGTACCTCAGGTTACATACGCTTCAGGTTACAGACACTTCAGGTTACAGACTCCGCTCACCCAGAAATAGTACCTCTGGTTAAGAACTTTGCTTCAGGATGAGAACAGAAATCGTGCTCCGGCGGCATGGCGGCCGCGGGAGGCCCCATTAGCTAAAATGGTATCTCAGGTTAAGAACAGTTTCAGGTTACGAACAGACCTCCAGAACTAATTAAGTTCTTAACCCGAGGTACCACTGTACAATGTTGCCAGATTCCGCATAGCAGTATCCAAAATTCGTCGGATGCTGATCTGCGCCACAAACTAGATTTAATGAACACTCATATCAGAGTGCTCTGTAAACTGATAGCTATAGTCTTTTCTATACAGTGGAAGCCAAACGCCTTGGCTCCTGAACACATCAGCTCCTGAACGATTGAAACCCAGAAGTGAGTGTTCTGATTTCTGAATGATTTTCGGAAGCCGAACATCCAGCGCGGCTTCCACGGCTTCCGATTGGCTGCAGGATGCTCCTGCAACCAATCGGAAGCTGCACGTTGGTTTTTGAATGGTTCCAGGAGTCGAACAGACTCCCAGAACACATTCTGTTCAAGAACCAAAATACATCTGTACTCACCTTTTATGCTCTTCCACATCCGTTTAATGCTCCTAACCCTTCTTTTAGCTTCTTTTGGATTCTTATAGTCTTTTATATACACCTTCTGTTTTAATAAGGGTGGTGCTGTGGGTTAAACCACAGAGCCTAGGGCTTGCTGATCTGAAGGTCAGCGGTTCGAATCCCAGCGACGGGGTGAGCTCCTGTTGCTCGGTCCCTGCTCCTGCCAACCTAGCAGTTCGAAAGCACCTCAAAGTGCAAGTAGATAAATAGGTACCGCTCCGGCGGGAAGTTAAATGGCGTTTCCGTGTGCTGCTCTGGTTCGCCAGAAGCGGCTTAGTCATGCTGGCCACATGACCCGGAAGCTGTACGCCGGCTCCCTCGGCCAATAAAGCGAGATGAGCGCTGCAACCCCAGAGTCGGCCACGAGTGGACCTAATGGTCAGGGGTCCCTTTACTTTACTCTGTTTTAATAATTTTTAGCTTTCCAAAATGTTTTACAGTGTTTAAATGATTGTATCCCTCCCCTACTTATGCTGGTCTCTGACCGTAATAAAGATTTGATTGATTGTACATAACGGCTCATACACCTTGCTTGGGGTGGTTCTCTTCTCTACGAGATGTTTGGAATTTTATCTCAAGCTTTCCTTGGGTCATTTATGGATTTTCCCAAGCTGCTGGCCTCGCTTTAAGAGCCCTCTATTTACGGTGATGCCTTTGTGTATATTCCTTTCCTTTCCAGGAAGGAGGCACTACGGATGCAGCTCCGCTAGGGCGGGGGGTGAGATTGTTCAGTGAGAAGAGGATATTGGTTGGAAATTAATGGTGACACCTGCTGAGGAGAAAGACAAGTAACAGGAAGATGTTTACTTTCCAGCTCGTTAGTCAAAGGGGGACTACGTTAGGATCAAGGAGATGGGCATGTCAAGATAACGAACTTCAGTCCAAATTTCACGCCAAAGCCATGCTTTGTGATGCTTGTGAAGTTTGGCATAAACTCTGGAAAGGTTCCTTAGGCATTCAGCTTTAAGAAATAGTCAAATAACAATGTGACATTCTCTTGCGATGCAGCCATCATTCATAGGCTAGCTTCAGATGTAAAGGAAAACCGTTGCTGGCATTTAATTCATGAATCCCTTCAGCAAGAGCCCTGCATAAGGACTTCTGATTGTGCAATGGGTCTTTCCCCCTCACTTTTCCCCCTGCAGCTGCTGAAATGGGCAGGGGGGGCATTGGGAGAACCTCTGGAATAGCATTCTGTGGGAGGAGAGGGGGAATTAATAGCAAATCAATATTCCTGAAAAGTGTACAAGAAATGTATTATGGAAAGCACATGCCAAGCATGAGCTGTGACCCATGCTAATGAGAGGAAGGAATGGAGAGGAGGGGAGAATCCTGGAGAAAGCTGTGAGACTTGAAAATATGAGCAAATTATACTGAGCAATGCACTTTAATATAATTTTAATCTCCTCGTTCTTTTTCATCATTTCTGATGTTCCAATATCCTTGACATGCTGCAGACATTCATATTATCCTACTGCAGCTAAAATCAGTATTCTGTTCTCACAATCACTTTTGCAAAACACAGAGGTGTGTTGAAGTCCTGAGGTAGCTCTGGGCAGGGGCGAACGAAGGCATCGTGACACCCGGAATGGGGTGTCGCTACGTAGGGCGCATGTGCAGCATCGCTATGTACGACGCATGCACCCGATGCCGCACATGCACTGTACATAGCGGTTTGCCGGCGCCACCGCTTCAGCGCCATATGGACGGTGCTGGGATCCTCTGCTCGTGACTGCAGCCGTGAACGGAGGATCCTCTACATGTGGCTGTAGCGGTGACAGAGGGATCCACCGCCATCTGTACAGCGACTGAGCGGCACCGGCGGCAAACTGCTATGTACAGCACATGTGTGGCGTTGTTACGTACAGCGCATGCATGCGACGCCGCACATGCGCTGTACATAGCAGTTTGCCGCTGGTGTCAGGATCCTCCGCATGCGGCTGCAGCGGCGTGATGGCTGCTCACTCCCTCGCGTGCCCCCGCGGGGTGCCTTCTTGTCACTCCCCAGACATGACACCTGGGGCACACCGTCCCCTGCCCCCCATTGCAACTCCACTGGCTCTGGGGACTAAAAGTGGCTTAACTTCCATATATTAAGATCTAGATGGCTCTCAGACATAAGACCAGAGGACTCCTTCTATTTTGTGGGTTGCTTTTTTGCAATCCTGCCCTGTTGAGTGGCATTTTGTTTCCCATAAAAGAGAACTCCTGAGCTGGTGTAAATATCTCGCCAGTTGGGAAGATGAGTGGTGCCATTTGGCAGAGAGAACTTTGGATCCTGGGTGTTTTCTAGTCTGCCTGCCCCCCCAAATCACCTGTGGTCTGGCCTGTGCTGGCTGAGCCAGGATGTTGAAAATGTCTGTGACAGAATGTAGATCCAACACTGGATCTCTCTCTCTCTCTCTCTCTCTCTCTGATCCCAGAAAGGGAGTTCTAATACATCCTATAGGATTGTAGTCTTGATCCCATGAAAGCAAAAAAAAGGGGGGGGTTCCCATTCATCTGCTAAACCACCTGAACGCAATTAAAAAAACAAGAAGTGACACGTTCCATATACATCTTCAGAGGAGACTTATACTGAAAAAGGCTGATTAGAAATAAGTATATCATGGAGTAGAGAGAAATATAAAAGACTTTGCCTGGAGGAAAGTATAATTCCTCCTGCTTCCCTCGCAAGACCCAAATCCTCTCATCTACAACCATTTGCATCTCTGTGTGGCTGGGAGAGCAAGTGGCGACTATGACTCATGCTAGTCGACTGTATCCCCTCCTTTGACTTCACTGTTGCTATTTCCTGATAATAATGAAAATAATAAAGAAGGATTTTGGAGAGGGGGAATAAAGTGCGATGATGACTTTTTGAATGTTATGTCTTTGGATGTCCCATTGACTGACACAACATCTGGCCCTAAATATATTTACTGGTGCCAGTACCAGTAGTTGAGGTGGGTGAACTTGGTGGGTTTTGAGGTTTTCGACATGTCTCAAACTGCTAATTAAATATGTAAAGTTAGTTTGAATTCACAGACTTTCCCACCACCCCTATAATTTAAAGCTATAATTTCTCCTACCCACAGATGATTCACTTTTAAAAAGAAAAACATGGTTTCCTTGTATGTTTGGATTAGGAAAGCACCCAGAAAAAGGCAGATTGACAATATATGTCGTGTCTCAATTTTGCTGTCTTCTACACACACATCCAACACAGATTTTTTTCCTTATTCTCTTCTACCTTTCACATTCTTATTTCATACATCTATTCTTTCAGTGAGTTCTGCCTCTTTTCTTTTAATAGTCTCTCCTGAATGTTTCCATTTATTTATTCATTTGATCGATCAATTGTTTTCTACTCCACATTTCAGTTCAAGGGGGATTACGTAAAAATTTCAAAATGCAATTAAGCGGGGGGGGGGGCTTTTAAAACCACTGGTAGAAAACATCAAATTAAAAGCACCAACCGAAACCCAGGACAAAGGACACAAAATGCAGGTTAACAATACTGGCAATTCACACCCCACCAAAAAAAGGTTTTATCAAAATTAAATGCTTTTTAACTGGCCTGATACTATAGTGAGACGAGACACCTTGATGACCCTCTATGAGCAGGGATCCCACAGCAAAGGGTCCATCTCTTAAAATCCCTTCTTGTCAGCCTCAGAAACCTAGAGTTCTTGAAGCACGTTCTTGCCTCTTAAAGGTAAAGGTAAAGGGACCTCTGACCATTAGGTCCAGTTATGGCCGACTCTGGGGTTGCAGCGCTCATCTCGCTTTATTAGCCGAGGGAGCCGGCGTACAGCTTCCAGGTCATGTGGCCAGCATGACTAAGCCGCTTCTGGCGAACCAGAACAGCACACGGAAATGCTGTTTACCTTCCCGCCGGAGCGGTACCTATTTATCTACTTGCACTTTGATGTCCTTTCGAACTGCTAGGTTGGCAGGAGCAGGGACCGAGCAACAGGAGCTCACCCCGTCGTGGGGATTCGAACCGCGACCTTCTGATTGGCAAGTCCTAGGCTCTGTGGTTTAACCCACAGCGCCACCCGCGTCCCTTCTTGCCTCTTAAGCTACTGTAATTGTTTAAATGCTTGAACCCTACCTGGCTATGTCCACCGCCTCAAACAAACCAATTACTGTGGATGGTCTCCTAAGCGGTCATTTGACAATAGGGTTGCGACTTAAGACAAAGGCTCTGCAGAACTTGTGCATGAGAAACAGCAGTTTGACGTTTGAATAAAGAGAGAAAGAAGCAAAACTTTCTAACTAGAGTTAGAAAGATGCACCTGGGTCCAGCCTCAGGGGTGGAGAATGCACAAGATAGGCTCTTGTGTTCTTAACATTTTCAGTGGCTCTGCAGGAGTGCCTGTTTGCCTCCACTATGCCCTGCTTGCATATTCTTGTCTGGTTCTGTTGCTGGATCCTGATTCTCTATGCACCTCCATTTAAAAAAATGTTTTGTTGTTTTATTTATCTTTTGAATTACACACACACACAATCAGTTTGTTATATGCTGCAATAAGGCTCCCTTTCGAGGGGAAAGCCAGCCTATGAAATCTAAATAAAATAAAATAATAGTATTTGTGAATTAAGAAAATATTTTAAGAACACCCTCAGTCTCCAGTGCTTTTTGATCCAAAGGAAATGTCTGGACTTGGTGCTGTTGCCCCTGAAACATCCCACTTCCTGCTTGGAAGTGGGGATTGTGTAAGAGTATTATTGGGAAAGATGCCAATTGTACGAGTTTATAATCAGCCCACGTCCTTTTCGATGTCTTTCGTATCATTTTACATTCGGACTCTTGTTTCCTTTAGGAGCAGAACTAATGCACCAATAAATGTGCTTAAAACTAAGCCAAATAAGCACACAGATACAAATGGCAGTTTTCTACTTTTTCATTCCGCAGCCTTGTCTCCAGCTGCTCTCCATCGCCTGACAATCCCGATTCAATCAGATAGCAGTGCACTGTTTAGTAGTATCCCAAACCTGTTGTGAGCAAGAAACAGATTTTCTCAGTGTTTCAAGTTACTGACTTTTTGGGTGGCAGAGACTGAAATGGTGGAAGGGGGAAGGGGCGTGTCAATGCTTAGGAACATCTTGTAAATGTGTGTGTGGTTTTCCTGGTTGAAGAGGACACAGCCTCTCATTTTGAAAATGCCACCAACTGATAAGAAAGAGATGCTGGTGAAGGTTCTTCTGACCCAGACTAGAGTATGAAATTAAGGGACTTGTAGAAGCTTGCTTCAAATGAGAGGTGAGTTTTTAAAGCCCTGATATGGCTGACATGAAATTCTGAGTTGGAGATGAATTCTTGGTTTTCCCCACTGTCCATTGCTAAAAACTCTCCCGACCAGCCTACACACTTCCAAAACACATTCTCCCAACCCCTTCACTAACCTCTCAAACAGTGATTGGATCAACAGTGATGGTGGTAGGGCAAAAAATCATTTTCATTTTATTAGTTTTTACCTAACTAGCCCATCTTTTCTCCCATGAGCTCAAGGTGTTATCCATGGTTCTTCCCCCCACCCTCTATTCTCACAACATCCTTGTGAGGCAGGTTAGGCTGAGAGACTGCAACTGGCCCACAGTCAAACACTTAGGTTCATGGTTCAATGAACCCTGGTCTCCCATGTTTTCTTCCAGTACACCACAACATGGCGAGGGCCTTCTTTACACTTCCTTCCATCCTTCTCCATTCCCCTGACATGCTGGTGAACCAGGCTTTGTGGTCTAATGTGAACCCCACATCTGTATAGGGTGAAGACACTTGCCCTGGAGACCCCATTTTTGACATGAGGGTTCTGCCTCCTGGCCTAATACATCTTCAAGATGATGTAGCCAGTTCATCTTACCATGACTTCCTTTTTCTTGTTCCTATATATCAGTAGTGGTGGCTCTCCGCAGATCTCCAGATGTTACTAGACTACAACTCCCATCATCCCTCACCATAGGACATGATGCCTGGGGATGAGGGGAGTCCATCAAAACCTGGAGGAGCACATGTACTCCATTCCTGCCGTATCTGTTGTGCCACCATTCAGTAATTCTGAAGGGTCCTCTCCCACAGATCTTTCCATCTGCACAGCAAACCAGGAAGAAAACACTATAAGCAGCAGCCCCAGCATCCCCATGACAAGATGCCTAATGGTCATCAGGGAGAGGAAGCAGAAGAGATCCTACAAAGTGCCTGAGATGGAACCTACAGAGATCAAGTGAGACAGGAGAGGGCAAGGGGGTGCCCTGTATCAGAGCAGACAAGCTTATGCATTTGTCCGAAGTAGCACAATCCACCCCAACAAGACTGATGCTAGAAGGAAGTTGCGGCACAACTGGGCCAGCTCTAACATTTTACAGACTGAGGCAGCTGCCCCAGGTGACGAGTGTCCAGGGGGTTCTGGGAACATGGATTGTCAGTGAGGTGTTGGGGAACAGAGCCATACATGAAATGTAACCTGTCCTGAATCCCTGAAGGTTGTCTGCTGCCTTCCAGTGTGGTGGTGGATACCGTCCTGTTTGTCACCGGTGCTGAAGTAAAATTCAACTGCCAATCCATTCAGGATCTGGAACGGAAGGGGGCATCAGGCAAAACTGTGTCAGTGAATGGCCTGGGATTCGGACTCGGAGGCTGAACCTGAGGAATCCCAGCCTGCACAGGAGTCCCCGCCTCCAGAACCAGCTGAGCCGGGGCTGGGGCTTGAGCCTGAAGGGTCCTCACCTGTGCTGGATCCTCAGGTGCAGGCACCAGCTGATTCTGCTCTGGCTCCTGAGGTGATGGAGGACCCATTGCCTGCAGGTGCTCCACTCTCAGCCCCGTCAGGGGAAGCTGAGGTTGCCTCTGGGTCCGGTAACCCTCCAGCCTCTCCTGAGCTGCAGAGGCTCAGGGCAGAGAGGCGGAGGGAACTAAGTTCCCGCAGGAGGAGTGCTCACCTCCAGGCCAGGTGTGATGGCCTGGGAATCCGATTCAGAGGCTGAACCGGAGGAATCCCAGCCTGCACAGGAGTCCCCGCCTCCAGGGCCGGCTGAACTGGGGCAGGGCCTTGATTCTGAAGCGCCTGCACCTGTGCCGGATCCTCAGGAGCAGGCACCAGGCAAATCCACTCTGGCTCCGGAGGTGGTTGAGGACTCAGTGCCTACAGGTGAGTCTCCCCCTGGGTCCAGTAACCCTTCAGCCTCTCCTGAACTGCAGAGGCTCAGGGCAGAGAGGCGAAGGGAACTGGTTTCTCCCAGGAGGAGTGCGCGTCTTAAGGCCAGGAGAGGCGGGTATCCTGGGGGCCGGGGCCGCCCCTGGCCTCAGAGAAGATAAAGGCCAGTCAGCCTGGTCCCAGGTTGCGGGAGCAATGTCATTGAAGAACTGTTTCGGCCAGCATCCAGTCCTGTTCCCCCAGAGTTCCTGTCCTTGCCCGGCTTCTCGCTGTGGACCCCGCTTCGCCCGAGGAGGACTGTCTGCCTACCCTCAACTCAGGTCCTGGACCTCGCCCCACGGTAACCTCCCCCCTGGACCAGCACACCGGGAGAGGCGAGTCACCAGTGGATCGGGGCCACCCTAATGCCTCGGGGCAGATAAAAGCCAGCCAGCCCCAGTCCCAGGTTGCGGGAGCAACATTGTTGGTAGCCTGTTCCTGCCTGCACCCTGTCCTGCTCTTCTGCCAGAGTTCCTGACCTCACCCGACTCCCTGCCTTGGACCCAGCTTCAACTCTGACGGACAGCCTCCATACCGCACCCTCGACCTCAGACTGGACTCGGACCTCGCCGCACTGTTAACCCTCGGGACCAGCACAGTCTGTCTCATGCTGGCCCCGAGACTCAGAGAACGTATGAGGTCCTGAAGGGCCATGTCTCTCAGCAGTGCCAGAAAATTGCTCCCTGGCACTGCAAGGGGGAGTGTGGGAAAGGGGCCTGTTTCAGTTCTGTCCTGGAAGGAGTGCAGTTGCTAGATGAATTTAGCGTGGTAGCAGTTTACAAGACACATGTCATGCTCTTCTTTCTTAGTCTCTCTTGACGTTTTTAATGGTGCATCCTAGAGCAAAGCTTCTCCAAGCCGGTGGATGGCAGGGTTCAGAGGCTTCATCGCGCTTGTGTTTAATGCATTAGCTGGCAAAGCTTCAGCGCAGGGGTGGCTGGAAGGGGATACATTTGGTAAATGTCTCCTCTCCCCTGCTACCTATCTGATTTCTCTTGAACCAAATTTGCTAAGCTCCAGTCAATTTTCTAATCTCTGCTTGCTGACAGACTGCAGGCCAAGAGAAAGACAAGTTTAAAACCCTGAAAATGAAGTGCATTTTATTTATTATGCTGTCTAAGATGTTTTCAATGAAGCAGACAGAGATAGTGCCTTGCCAAATTAGTGTCATGACTTTCCAAAGGTTTTGGCTAGTTAGGAGACTTCCAGTAAAAATACACGATGGCGCTCAGACCTCTTGTGGGCGATCCACACCTCTCTTGGAGCCTCCTCTTATTATCTTGTGGTTTCTGGTGGAGGGAAAGGGGGGGGGAGAGCACAACCCCCTATGAATGGCTTTGGACCTCTAGTAACTGTTCTGCAAATTATATTAATAACAAATGGAGAAAGAGTTTAATATGCCAAAACACTTGGTTCCTCCCCACCCCCCAGCCCCGTGCCTCTGGTCTTCCATAGCCGTGACAGCGAGAATATAAACAAACATTAGCAAGAAAGCCTGGTTTGATTAACGAGAACCAGGAATGGGAAGATAGACAAGAGCTGAAGGAGAACAGGATTTCGGCAGGCATTAAAAAGGATGACCCTGCAGCTGATTCTTTGAAGACCCCAAATACCAGTAAATGCTCTTCCGGGCTCAAGAAATGCCTGCCCACTTTGGCCTTGTCACTTGGCATGTAGATCACACTCCTCACTGCTCAAACCTTTAAAAGCTAGTTTTGGTTTGCTAAGGCTTCGTAGTCCATAGGCAGCTGCTCCACTAGTTCTTTTCCAACTCCACCCGACTAATTTCCACGTGGTTCAAGTGGTTGCCCCCAGCTTGTTTCTGAACAGCAGGAAAGGGCCATGACTCAGTGACAGGGCATATGCCCAACAACAGGGGTAGTCGGTGCAGTGACTTCAAGATGTTGTTGGGTTCCAGGTCTCATCAGCCCCAGCCAACATGACTGATGGGCAGGCATTGGGACCATCTGAAGGGCACCATTATGACTACCCCTGTTCTACATGAATAGGGTGCTGTTCAGCACTGAATCTATCTTCAGATCAAGGACCAGAGGTACCAGGGATTGCTATCTGCTCTTTTAGTTTTTGTTGTCTTGCAGTATTAATCTTCATTGTCTTGCAGTATTATTGTACAGTGGTACCTCTGGTTAAGAACTTAATTTGTTCTGGAGGTCCATTCTTAACCTGAAACTGTTCTTAACCTGAGGTACCACTTTAGCTAATGGAGCCTCCCGCTGCTGCTGCTGCGCCGCCGCCACACGATTTCTGTTCTCATCCTGAAGCAAAGTTCTTAACCCGAGGTACTATTTCTGGGTTAGCGGAGACTGTAACCTGAAGCGTCTGTAACCCTAGGTACCACTGTATTGCAGTATTGATCTTTAACACTGTTATATTGTTGCATCTTTATTTGTCTTGTAAAGGTGGTCTTGGAATATTTTTTTAAAGGGCTGGGTACAAATAACTTGGCACAAGTTTACCCCGCTATGTGATCGCTGGGGAGAGGGTGGGAGGAATAAGGTGACATGTGCCTCTCTGCCTGGTTTTACCAGTAGAGGCGCCAGCTGCAACCAGTTAGGGAGAAAACAACCGCTGGCAGCAGCAATCAGAAATACCCAAATGGGGCATTTCAGGGGCACTTGTGCAAATGTCTCATAGGTGTCCTGAGTTGAGATTTGCTAGCCTGGAGCCAGGATAGTGAAAAATAAGAAAGGAGTTACTGGTTTGCAGTGATGAATCTGACACTCCCCTTCTCCTCTTTAGATTGCTCAGCCCATGGTCTACAAGGTAAGGTTATCCACACATCAGCTCCATCAAATACAGTCAACTGAACAGGTGGACGATAGGAAGGCAACCTTAGGCTTCAGCTGATTCAAATGCATGGGTTTAGCTAGTCCTATATGATCCTATTCAACATCCTTTCTCTAGCTGAGTTAGTCCCCGGTTCAATGCTTATTATGGTTGTACATATTGAAATATAAAGAGAAGTATGTGCATACTGTACAGAGCCATTTGTCAGACCTTCCTTTCATTCATCCAATATGTATTGTCATCTGAAAATCAGACTTCACAAGTTAACCTGTGGTTTCAAAAATGTGAAGATGAAAACAGTGTTGGGTGGTGTTTTTTAATTTATTTATTTTTTAAGGAGAAGAAAACACTACATAAAGTCTGCGTCTGTGTTGCTGGATCGCTATGAAATAGACTTTTTTTTTTACCACCAGGAAAGTCTCTGAAATCTATTAATATTTCTGGCACCACCTTCAACAAAAAATGCCACTGGTTTCAGTTAACAGTAGGCATTTTAAATCTTATAGCAAGAATGTCAGAAAATGGCATACAGACATTATTTTCCTCTGAGAGATCCTTGAGAAAGTTGTGGGGGGGAGGCAGAGACGCTAGCCTAGTTGTGCACCACAGAACAATAATACAGCATTTTGACTTTTACAAGCAATCATACTTAACACAACCATTATAATTTACATCTCCAGATGTCACCGTCCTTTCCAGAAACTCATTGAGGGCCTCCAGCCTTGAGTGATGCCTGAAAAGAACAGGAAGATGCACAGAAACCATTTGGTCCTCCATGCCAAAATATAGTTATAGAAAGAATGACTGTTTAGGGATTCTTTGAGGCAAAGGCATAAATTAATGCTTCAGTGTGCAGGCAAGATTGGATGTATGATCTCATTGCAAGTTTTATCCTCCTATGCCAGGGCTGGGGAACTTGTGGTCTTCTAGATATCATTGGACTGCAACTCCCATCATCCCTGACCTTTGGCTGTCCTAACTAGGGATGGTGGGAGTTGGAGTTCAACATCTTCCCCAGCCCCATCCTAAATAACCAGGAAACCATGATGTCTGTCAGTGGAGATCAAATTTCAGAGATGCAACTTTTAAAAAATCCCAGGGCCAAAATATTAAGAGTACAAATTTGCATGGGTTATTTGTACCCATGGATTGGGTGACCGTGCTAATCATCCTTGGCCATTGGCCTTGCTGGCTGGGGCTGATGGGAATCCAACATCTGGAGGGTCACAGGTTCCCTCATCTCTTCCATATATATATATATATATATATATATATATATATATGTGTGTGTGTGTGTGTGTGTGTGTGTGTGTGTGTGTTTTCCTGGCTAACCTATGAATAGTGGATCATGTGGTTCTTTCTCAGACTGTAGCAATCAATGAGCAGACATGTTGATGGATGCCTCCACCTACTTGTAAAGGTTACCAGCTCAGACATGGACCACAAGCAACAGCTGCTAGAAAGCCCCAACCCTTACCTGTCCTTTCAGCATTGCTGCTGACCACACCTGATCATCTTCAGTTTTGAGGCAGCCTATGAGGTTGGGCTATTGAGTATACATCTGGATCCCTTTGCTACTGCTACTATGGATGCCTGTTTTGTTTCAAAAGTATACAGGCTATATAGGTAAAAGTAAAGGACCCCTGGACAGTTATGTCCAGTCAGAGGTGACTATGGGGTTGTGGCACTCATCTCGCTTTCAGGCCAAGGGAGCCAGCGTTTGTCTGCAGACAGATTTCCAGGTCATGTTTGCCAGCATGACTAAACCACTTCTGTTGCAGCAAAACACCATGACGGAAACCAGAGTGCATGGAAACACTGTTTACCTTCTCACCACAGGGGTACCTATTTATCTACTTGCATTGGCATGCTTTCGAACTGCTAGGTTGGCAGGAGCTGGGACAGAGCAACAGGAGCTCACTCTGTTCCAGGGATTTGAACCACCAACCTTCTGATTGGCAAGTCCAAGAGGCTCAGTGGTTAGACCACAGTGCCACCCACTATATACAAAGTACAGGAAAGACATATGGCCTCTGCCCACTTACACACTATGTGAATACTCTCTCAGGACTTCCTTCTTAGCTAATTTACTATTATTCATATTATTGGAATTATTTCCTGGTCCAGGGCAAATAAATGAGCATTTGCTAAAGTCTTTCATGGCAGGCTAGAAGCTGAGCAACAGGCTGTTGGAGGCTGTCAAGTTTATTCTCATGTGGATTAAGCAATTCCACATTCCAAGGGTTGAAGGCAGGTGATGTGTGAGGCTTCATCTAAGAGGTGAGCCATTAGGACAACTCTAATCTCTTTCTTCTTCTTTTTCTCAACAGGGGTGTCTCTTTTCTTTCTCTCCTCCACTTGACGCAGCTATCAGGGATGAACTTTGACAGAGGTAGTGATAATGTGTCAGGTACTTACAGCCGAATGGGCTGGTGGGGAAAACTCTTTTCTTGTCAAGAGTTACTTTTCTTTTCCCTGTGTAGGATTAAAGAATATATGCCAGGCCACAATTCAAGTCAAGAAAGCTTCCCAGTGTCCCTCGAGAATTTTGTGGTAGCCAATGACAGAGCAAAGCTCACATGGCCTCTTAACATTTGGCAGATGAAAATAAGAACACGTGTGTTGCGTTAAGGGACTAAACAGCTCAGAGTGTGGTAGTAAGCAAGGCTGAGAAGCAAGCTGGTTGTTTCCCAGGGGGCCTGGCATTATGCCTTCCCCACAGAGTATTTTTAAACTGGTAATCTCAATGTAAAAGTCCTCAATAGATACAGCACTTAAAAAATATGTATGTCACATCCACATAGCACTTAAGGGCACAGAACAGCCAACATAGTGTCCTCAAGAGGTTGCTGGACTCCAGCTCCAATCAACTGGCATGGCTAATGACCATGAGTGATGGGAATTGTAGTTTCGTCAGTTGTCCCAGCTTGAGGATTAACTGTGCACATTGTAAATGTGTGGGACATTCATGACTGAGTAAAATGTTGCTTCAGATCATCTTTTAACTTAAAAGTAATGATCAGGGTAGGGACGCGGGTGGCGCTGTGGGTAAAACCACAGAGCCTAGGACTTGCTGATCAGAATGTCAGCGGTTCAAATCCCCGCGACGGGGTGAGCTCCCGTTGCTCGGTCCCTGCTCCTGCCAACCTAGCAGTTTGAAAGCACGTCAAAGTGCAAGTAGATAAATAGGTACCGCTCTGGCGGGAAGGTAAACGGTGTTTCCGTGAGTTGCTCTGGTTCGCCAGAATCAGCTTAGTCATGCTGGCCACATGACCCGGAAGCTGTATGCCGGCTCCCTCAGCCAATAAAGCGAGATGAGCGCCGCAACCCCAGAGTCGGTCACGACTGGACCTAATGGTCAGGGGTCCCTTTACCTTTACCTAATGATCGGGGTGAATGAATGCCACAAAATAAACCTCAAATCATTTTCCACAACTGTTTGCAGATATTATACCACCATCTTTACATGCTGATGGCTATTTTTTTTCTTTGTTTCTTTTCTCCTCAAGCTGACCCAAGGCATTTTGCAGCCTGAAGTTGAGCCCAGTTTATGCCTGACCCCCCACCCCAGGCCAGCCTTTTTGAAAGTATTGTGATGTGATTCAGAAACCACTTCCAGCATCCACCTCTTCCTTCCACCTTCACAGTGCTGCCTTGAGAAATAAAGGCCTCTGGTTTAGCTTTAGAACATCAAAACTTAGCCAATTTTGATTTGGAACATAATGTCTCCCCATGAGAGCAGTGCTACCAATCCTCACTCTGAACTGGCTTTATGATGTCACCAAAGAAGACAAATCAGATTGGCTACATGGCATGGTCATGAAGCCAAATCAGAGTGAGGGCAGGAAGCACTGACCCTGCTTGCATTTGGCTCATAAAGACACCCAATAATCAATTGTATTTGATGTCTCAAAGCCAAATCAGAGGGATAACATTCCTTCCTGCCATGTCTCTGGCACAGAGGAAGGAGGAATGAAGCAAAATAGCATTGTGAAACTCAAGTCACCCCGGCCAGAACTGCAAATAAGTGATGAAGAAGAGATAAGATGAGCAACATAGGGTTTCATTTGAAGGTTGCCACAGAAGACTGAGAGAACACCTAAGTCATGAAGTGCAACAAGAACTTCATTGTCTCTCTTAAACAAGAACAGAACAGATAGGGGACATGCCTTTCTCTATCCACATACAACTAAATCCAGTTCCACCTGGTGTCTAAACTCTATAATGGCACTACCCACAAAAACGTTAAACGTTTGTTACAGAATACTTGACTCACCCCTAGTTCTCGCTCAATATGTCATCATGGCAAAAAAATCACAGTTATCTCCTTTGAAGAAACATGTAGCAAAATCTGGCAGAGTTTCTCAGGAATGTTTTTGGAACAGAAGCAGCAGCACATGGTGGCAATTATTAGATGATTAACAACCTTAAAGAATAGTATGCATAGATAAAGGAAGGGCATTTTTTTAATTAATAGAAGAGAGGTCTTGATGCTATGTTCCAAGTGGAGCAAAAGGACTTATGTTCACCACCCATCAGCCCACAGACTCCCCAGCCTTCTGAGAACAGTATCCTTTTCCATGTGCTCTGCACAAAGAATTTTCCGCATGTCAGAGAATCTGGAATGACTCCCAAACATGTGGGAAGATAATGTCTGATATGAACAGATTTAAAAAAACAAAAAAACAAAAAACCAACAACATCTTGTTAACATGCACTTGCTGGCTTTGTTGGAATCATCTTTAGGAGACTCCCTTTAGTTGATGTGATTTTTTTTTTAAAAGTATTTTATTTGGCCTTGGAATGCTCATATTATATGGTGGTGTTTTTTGTTACTCCCCCCTCCCCAATCCTCTCCAGACAAATTTCATTGTATTGTTGCTCCAGGAAATTCTGACTCATGGAATGCTCTTAAGAGGTAAGCTTCCTTTTTCAGAACATTTGAAAAACTGCCTGGTAGAATCTATAGATAACTGAAACTCTGTTGACAAAGGTGAGGATTCCCTAGGGTAGTTAACAGGGGAAACAGTTAGATGTAGCTAATGACCGCTCCCCACATTAAGTGGGGTGGGGCGCCCTTTGCGTGGTCGCTCGCAGCCCCCTGGACCCTATGCAGCACCATTAAAACAGGCTTGGCTTCGCCTTCCCCAGGTGGGATACCTGGAGGTCTCCGCCTACCTCAGCCAGTTGCCCAATCCCGCCTGGGGAGGCATTACCAAGGTGATCAGGCCAGGTAGGGGGAGGGACCACCTGCCCACACAATAGGGGGAGGATCTTACCTGGGAATCGTCACATATGAAGTGCCAACTCCATCAAAATGCTAATGCTTCTTCTTAAAGCTGATGTAGAGGAAACGCTTGCTAAGCACTTAACCATAGATTAGTAATCAAAATAGGGGCATGGATTTGTGCCTGCTCAAATTCCCATGGTCTTTCTTAACTATGGTTTGAGTCTAATGCACCATCAAATCTAATGCACACCTCAATTTTCAGAACCTTGAAATAATAAAAAAGTATTTGCTGGTGAATGTAAATGTGCCACCGAATCCGATGTGCAACTTAATTTCTGTAATGTAATTTGGCCCCCAAAAATGTGAGCAGATAGAAACATATTAGGCTTTAAAATGAATCTTGAGAGGTTTAGTTTAACTGCTAAATCTCTGTTCTGATGTGTTTTATATTGTAATTGCTTTAAATTGTCACAGTTGTATCTGTGTTACGCTTTTGTTGCTTTTATGAGCTGCTCATTATGTACTGCTCTGTGATTATATATTAGTTTATGTACCCCCACCCTGGGAGAAGAAGGCAAGGTGAGAAATACTAGAAATAATTTTTTAAAAAATGGTTTTATGGTTCATAGTCCTTGATTTTTATGTAGGTCACCTGGAGAACTTTGCTTATGGGGCAGCACAGAATACCACAAGGAAACAAACAAACAATAAATCACTGAGTCATCTGTTCTCTATTGCTCAAAAGAACTGGGATGAAAGGTAGATCCAATTTCCCTGCGAGTCACAGTATGCCCGCGGAACAAGAATCAGATGTTACTGTTTTCACTTCGAAAACTTGTGCCTGCATTTGCAACATAACAACTGCACCCTTTTTATGTCAGGTTGTCAACTCTCTTTGCATGTTTCCCTTCGACCTGTATGAAAATGTCATCAGAGCTAAACTGAGCTGTTTTTCACGCCCGCTACCCCATAAACAAGAGAAAGCAGGACAGTCATTAAATTTTATGAATGGAATCCATCTTTTCAGTCTACCAGAAGCAGCATTCATAGTGGTGCAATTTGAAGCTTTTAAAGGCTACAACACCACACGGACTAGACTAGAGCTTGCCCTTGGTTATCATTACAGCTTTCTTTTGAACTCCAAGGGGCTGGTGTTCAGCAGAAAATACCTTGCTTATATAGGGAAATATGCACAGACATACCAACATGTTGCGGCGCAATCTTAGGTGCTTTTGGAGATGCTTGCTCAAACTCACCTTCTGTCCAATTCTGTCTGATTCACTTTTGGTTGGGAAAGAATCCGTAGCCGGATGCTCAAACTCTTCTGTAAGACAGCCGAGAGTCTAAGAGTAGAGATGAGCATCCGTGGTCATGGACAGGATTTGGGGCTTGCCCAGGGTTGTTAACCTTCTTATCACAAGATGAAGGTATGACTGTAATGAAGGTTTGGCAATGGATTGGATGTAGGTGAAGCCATGCTTGGAGTGGATTCACTGAAATCCATGTGACTTAAGTTCCATTGACTTCAGTGGATCTAAGTCTGGAGCCCACCTTCTCTTCGGAGGAGTGGGATGCTTAGAAGATGCATAGCATACCCTCCAACATTTCTCAGATGAAAACAGGGACATCTTATTCTGTGCTATTTTTCTAGAAAAAGGTGCCGAAATTCACCATGAATGCCTCCCTTGTGCTCTTATAATGGCAACGGCGCACAACTGAGAGGTGCTGGAACTGAGTTCCTGTGAGTTCTGGCTGGAAAAATGCCCTGTTTCTATTTTACATGAGTGTCACCCCTCCCCAGACCCTTGATATACATGCACTGCTAACGGCAGTGCACAATTCAAAGTGTTGGTGCTGACCTTTAAAGCCTTGAACGGCCTCAGCCCAGTATACCTGAAGGAGCGTCTCCATCACCATCGTTCTGCTGGGACACTGAGGTCCAGCGCTGAGGGCCTTCTGGTGGTTCCCTCACTGAGAGAAGGGGGGTTACAGGAAACCAGGCAGAGGAATACAGGAAAGGGATGTGGCTGACTGAGCTGCCCCAATGGTTGTTACCAGGTGCAGTATGTAACAATACCGTACCAGCAAATGTCTTGGTTATATGAGGGAGACTTAGATGATACATGGTAAAACTTCCACCATCCTACCTTGGGCATCAGAGGAGGCACCTCTACCAGATGTTTCAAGGCGGCACCTCCATGCCAGTAGTATAGTCTCTATAGTTGGTGGCCATGACTGTCGAAGGGCCTCCTATGTGACTGTGTGAGCTAGGTCCCCTTAGGCTGCTTCTGCCATCACCATCACTGTAGTCTGATGTGTTGATCCATACCAGTCGGAGAAGCTGAGGAGCACAGTGGAAACAGCTGGTGCCTCACTCCTCTCCCCATGGGTCCCACTGCACCACTGTGAGGGGCTGTGCGGCCCCCTCTTCCCCCTGCCCCACACTTCCCTATCCCTTTTCCCTGCTTGCAGAATTTGGCACTCTGCATGATATTGGGAGAAGTCATGCTGGCTTAAGGGTTTTCATGACAGTCCCGGCATCTGGAGTGCTGAGGAGAGAGCACACCTAACTAGTTTCTTGGAACAGCTTTCAATTTGTTCAGACAGTATACTTTAAGTTTACCTGCCATGACAGTTAATCTAGTACTGGGTGAACTACAACAGTAGGGAGATGCCTTTTTCAGACCGAGGGCCGCATTGCCTTCTGGTTAACCTTCCAGGGGCCACCTGCCAGTGGTGGGCAAGGCCCGAGACAAAAGAGGTTGGCGCAACAAATGTAGATGCCAACTTTGTGCAGCAGGCTAGTTTTGTCACACACTCACACAGTCCTTTTTAGATCAACAGTATCGAAGCAATGATTCATCAACACCAGCTTCATTGAACTGGTCATGTTGTTCCGATGCTTTATTATCGTCTTCCAAAGCAAGTACTCTATTCCCAACTTAAGAATGGAAAGCGAAACACCAGTGGACAACAAAAGAGGTTTAAAGACTCTCTCAAAGCAAATCTAAAAAAAATGTTGTATAAACATGGACAACTGGGAAACACTGGCCTGCGAGTGCTCCAGTTGGAGAACAGCCTTTACCAAAGGTGTCATTGACTTTGAAGAAACATGAACTCAGGGCGAAAAGGAAAAATGAGCTAAGAAGAAGGCACATTTGGCAAATCCTCACCATGATCAACTCCTGACTGGAAACCTTTGTCTCTACTGTGGAAGGACGTGTGGATCCAGAATTGGCCTCCACAGTCATTTACAGACACACTGCTAAGACTGTGTTCATGGAAGACAATCTTACTCAGCCACGAAGAAGAAATCTCTTTCCAGGCATACAAGCAAGCGGCATTATCAACATTCAAGGCAGGTAAAAACACTCAAGGAAGGTGGTGTCATGAGATAGGCTGTAGGGGTTGAGGAAAGCACCCAGTGCCAGATAAAGAGGCCTGGAGGACAACATTTGATCCTGGTTCTAAGGTTTCCCATAATTGACCTAGAATACCAATGAAGCCACAGTGGTTGCTCCTGGATGCTGTTACTGGAAAATTGCATTTTCTCATAGAGATAGATAGATAGATAGATAGATAGATAGATAGATAGAGATATATATATGAAGGCTAGGCTTTATTAATTATTTGAACAATGCAGCCTATCATGAAGGCACCTGCTTAGAGCAAAGAAATAGTTTTGTAGCTCTAAAATCTCTTCCCCTCACACACACATTGTTGCCAAAAAGGTAAGGATTAACAATGAATGACGAGAACAATTTTATATTAAAAAAGTAAATACAAACAGCAATTTATTTGGCAGAAAGAGCCACTTCCCATTTCTGGAGCATGTTAAACTGAAGATTATTGACCTCTGCAGCTGCTCTGGGCGCCAATGTAATATTTTATATGGCCCCATCAAACCTTTATTTTTTAATAGGTAAAAATGTTGATTGCTCACAGCTAAATACCAGGAGCTTGTGAACATGCCAACTGGAAAGCATTAGCTTTCCTCAACGGTCCCAACTGCACAGCCAGCATATGGTTTTCTTCACCAGTCAACAGACCCTGTGGCAAAGGACAAGCAGTCAGCAGGGTTTCTGTCAGCATCTACTGAAACAAGATGGCGGGGAACTAGGTTCTCCCTAGAGGTGTGGTCCTTCAGATTTCCAGAGCAGTTGTTTCAGCTCAGTTGCTTAGGAACACTAGAAGACAACAATAACAAAGAGTATTGTGGCATCTTCAAGACAAAGGTTGAGATCCAACATTATGTCAGGATATGTTAGGCTCCACCCAATTTGCTCCGGAGAGACCCAACTAGACAGAGGAGATCTTGGTGTCTGTGCATGTGCAGGGTGCTGCAGTGGGGAGCAGAGGAAATGGAAGTCCTGTCTGTAGGAGTAGGAAGGTCTGTTACACAAAAAGGACACCCCAATTGTATTTCACACTAACACATGTAGAATGGCATACACTTTCAGGGATGAGACCAGGGTTTCCCAAACTTGGTTCTCCAGCTGTTTTTGGACTACAATTCCCATCATCCCTGACCACTGGTCCTGCTAGCTGGAGATGATGGGAGTTGTAGTCCAACAACAGCTGGAGACCCAGGTTTGGGAAAACCTGGAGTAGACTCTGATCAAGGACTTGCCAATGGGCACATCTGCAGACAATGAACATGTTCTGGTACAATACATATGCTATGGAACTGTCTCCCAGCTGAGATTTGACAGGCATCCTCCTTTTGACATTCAAGTGACCCTTGGACTTTTTTGAGCTGGCAGACCTTGTAGCTGTGCAATTTATTTATTTTTTCAACAGATATTCAGGAATATTCTTTTAAAAAAATGTTACTTTGAATATTTTTATTAGGAATTTCAACATAACAATTTATCAAAAACATCATTCTCATTCGCCCCATTTTTTCCCTCCCCAAAAAAGACCCCCCCCGACTACCCTCAGCTCCTTTCTCTGGTTTTTCAGCACATGTTATTCTCTGCATATTATAAAATTGTAAAGATCCTTAATTTATCTATCTATCTATTACCAATAAGAAGTTTGTGAATGTTTATTCAAAAGTAGCTGTGGAATTTTTGATTAGCCAGTCACCTTGATGATTATCAGTAGTTTAAAATTTAATTAATCTATTTAAATGATATTTTATGATACGACAGCATAGACACGCTTCTATTAAAAATAAATTGATGTATTGATGTCAGATGATTGACAGATGGGAAGCCCACCCTACCTGTCCAAGTTGGCTCATGGGATGGTGAGGGAGGTAAGGATCGTATCTTCCCAGAGAATCCAGTTCCCCACCTCTGAGTTAGCAATTGCACTGGGAGAGCAGTTTTTCTTGTTACACAGGAAAAGGACAGAAGAAACACCTTTATTTCATTCACTTGGCTCTAATTCTTAATGCTAAAAGGCAACGTTTTGTATGAAGAACCAAGCATTCCCACACTATCATTTGCATTAAGCCATATTGCTAAGAGTTGAAGCTGCAAATGGAATCACATGGCCTTCGGGTTCTTTGCCACAATTGCTGTGCTGTGATTTAAACTCTTTAGTTGAATTTAGGGTGAATTTAATTCTGGTTATTACTGTTGTCACTCGGAGTACCGTTTCATGCTTAATAGCTTTGCAATGCTGGTCTCATCTGCATCATGCCAAGTAGTGTCCTGAGTAATGGATACCACTGGAAGATTAGTAACAACAACAAAGAAATTTGCATGCCTTGTGGTCAGAATGTTGGAATACTCCAAACCTTGAAATAATATTCATCTGAATATCAGCTGAAACCATACGCTTTAACTCTTGTAACTTGTAAAGGTTTAAGTTGTGTATTCTAAGGGTGGAAAAAAATGTACAGTTCACGTTTTAATGTGAACCTATTCAGTTCACACTTCCCAAACCAATATGCAAGATGAAACACAGCTCTCCTTTGAAATTCACGCTGACCTGAATTTTACGGCATCGTTCTTCACAAAGAAAGTGAACAAAAATGCGGAGGATAAACGTGTATATTTGTGAAAATGCTGTACAAAACTGCATTCCATTAGGGGGAAATTGCTAGGGGGGAGAGCGTTTATTATCGGCAAAATTTAATTCCAATAGGACAAACAGGGCTTTAAAAATATATATTTATATTAATTTTTAAGAATAGGAAAAATGGGGCTTTGCTTAGGATATTGGGTGTTTTGGAGTTTTGGTGGTGAAGGTTTCAGAGAAGGTCTGTGAGAGGAAAAGTTTGAAGCATGAAGGGTATGTCACAAATTGTCCTTCAGCTGTTTTGGCCTCTGAGTACTTTATACATACCAGCTCCCATTAGAAAATCGTCTCCTTTCCTCATATTCCCATCTCTCTCTCTCTCTCTCTCTCTCTCTCTCTCTCTCTCTCATGTTGTGGAAGAGCCTGGGAAAATGTAATGACTTATGACCGGGTTCACCTCAAGAGCCTGCTGTGTTGAAGGAAGCATATTCAGCAATCGCGGCAGGGGACGCCTTTATAAATATCTGGAAGAAAGCAGAGTAGGTCCGCTTATTGATTAAATCTGCCGATACCAAGGACAGTGGGGGGTAAAGGGTGGGAAGGAGTGTGACTCAGAGAGATTAATCTTCAAATTAAATACATGACCTTGTGGTATTCGTTGCCCTTTCGAGAATAGGCCGTTGTGTATCCTTAGCAGTTTATTTGCCTACGAAAGCTGGGTTCAGAGGCAGCATCTGGTTTTCAGAGGTTTCCCATTGTTTTTATTCAGTTCTCCAGCTGGGATGGTTAAGGCACTTCAAAGTCAGGCTTGGATTAGAATTCAGAACTTTTTCAGCTAGCCAAGGTTTTGATGGTCACACTGCACAACTTCCTTGATGCCATTTCACCAGATCTTCCTTATGGAATATTTTGGTTTTTGGCAACAGATCTTGACTTTAGAGCAGCTATACAGCAGAATGACCACACACGTGTTGAAGCAATCTTGTCATGTCCATCTCATCTTGCTACAAGAGCATATTTAGGGGGGAAAGAGTGGACTAACTTTCATGCTATGAGCCCTGGAGAACTTTCAGGAACTTTGTTTCCAGCAATTCAACAGAAAGACAACAACTTCTTTATCTGCCTTGAGTTAAAGAGTCCTAAGAGTCAGGTTCAAGGGATGGCAGATGGCAGACTACTGCAGGGCTTGAAATTCTTGTACTTTCCTACTTGATTGTCTATCAGTGCAAACAGACTGTAGCATGAGCCAATGAACATCACCAGGTACTTGGTGGAGCAAGATCGCCTAATGAATGCAGTCATTTTAGACTGTTCTTGAAGTATGAACCAAGGATACAGTAGGGAACAATAATTACTCATCTGTCTTCCCTCTTGATCCTGTTCTCTGAAGGATTGAAGTATTCCAATGATGCCATTGTAGTTGCTGTTTTATTTTATTTATGCTTTTCAGATTTATACATTTCACTAATTTTACAATCATTTTCTCATTTCAGAACTTGACTTCCTTCCCCCTCTTTCGGCGGTTCCTTAAATGTCTTTTTAATATCTTCTGCATATCCAAATCAACTTAATTTGCTCATTTATTCATCCACTTTAAATATATACTCTTATGAAACTGTAGGTTATTACAGTAATCCTGCCAATGTTCTTATCTGTTTACAATTTATCTGAAAATATTCAATAAACCATTTCCATTCTTTGTTGTCTTGATTTCTTATTCTTCTGGAAAGTTTCACCATTTCTGCATATTCCACAAGCTTTTGTATCCATTCTTCCTTTGATGGGACTTCTGCTTCTTTCCATTCTGGGGCAAGTAACATTCTTGCTGCTGTAGTCACATACATGAATAAATTTCTATACAGTTTGGGTAGTTCTGTCCCTATAATTCCCAAATAATGTTCCTATACAGTGGTGCCCCGCAAGACGAATGCCTCGCAAGACGAAAAACCCGCTAGACGAAAGGGTTTTCCGTTTTTCGATGCGCTTCGCAGGACGAATTTCCCTATGGGCTTGCTTCGCAAGATGAAAATGTCTTGCGAGTCTTGAGATTTTTTTCACTCCCCCCCCCTTTTCTAAGCCGCTAAGCCGCTAATAGCCTTTTAGCCGCTAAGCCGCTAAGCCGCTAAGCCTTTAATAGCCGCTAAACCGCTAATAGCGCTAATCCGCTAAGCCGCTAATAGGGTTGCTTCGCAAGACGAAAAAACCGCTAGACGAAGAGGCTCGCGGAACGGATTAATTTCATCTTGCGAGGCACCACTGTAATGTCCTGTGACATTATGTAATCATTCATATTATTATCAGCACCAGAATGAGATCATAAAAGCCAATCTCTCTCCTTCAAGTGGACAACATCAGCACAAGGACACAATGACAAGTCTCTCTACTTCATTGGCCACTATCAACATGAGGTCACAATGGCCAGGAGAGGATAGGAAAAAACCAGACCACAGCAGGCTGTGTGTGCAGATGGTAGATGCAGGTGTTGCCTGGCACCCCAAATTCAATGGTGAGCCTTCAAAGTCCAGTAGCTGTCGCAGGTTGAGGGCAGAGTAGAGAGAAGAGATGGACTAGGCAGCAACTGATGGGCAAAGCAGCAGTAGAACAGCCAAGAGGTACCTCGGGTTACAGATGCTTCAGGTTACAGACGCTTCAGGTTACAGACTGTTAACCCAGAAATAGTACCTCGGGTTAAGAACTTTGTTTCGGGATGAGAACAGAAATCACGCAGCGGCGGTGTGGCAGCAGCGGGAGGCCCCATTAGCTAAAGTGGTGCTTCAGGTTAAGAACAGTTTCAGGTTAAGAACGAACCTCCAGAACAAATTAAGTTCTTAACCTGAGGTACCACTGTACAGAAGAAAGGAAGAATAGGAGAAAGCACCCAGCACTTGGAGAGGAAGAGAGAAGGTAATTTGGACAGGAGTAGCAATGCTCACCTGATTTCTTATTCTTCTGGTAAGTTTCACCATTTCTGCATATTCCATAAGTTTTTGTATCCATCCTTCCTTTGCTGGGACTTCTGCTTTTTTCCATTTTGGGCAAGTAACATTCTTGCCACTGTAGTAGGATACATGAATAGGTAGTTATATCCCTATAATTCCCCAAAGTAAAGCTTCTGGTTTTGTTTACAAAAGTTATTTTAAATATCCTTTTCAATTCATTATATATCATTTCCAATAGCTTTAACTATGATATTACTGGGAACGGATTCAATGGTGCCATTGTTAAAGCCAGTGTTTGTTTGTTTGTTTGTTTTCTGGGGGGAATGCAGGGGTACGCATACCCCTAAACATTTTGTGAATCTTTCTACTTTTGTCCATTTACTGTATTTATTTTCCCCAATTTAAACTATAAAATGGTGGTTTTCTTGAGTCAAAATGAGAGTACCCCAAAGCATTTCTTTGGGGGGGGGGGAAGCACTGGTTAAAGCTATTGGAAAAGTGTAGCAGTTCGATGGCATCTCCAATTGAAAGGCTTGTCAGAGATCCTGGAGAGCCTCTGCTCATCAGAGGAGGTGACAGTGGATTCTCATCAGGCGTAGGGAAGCTGTGACCCTCCATTGGCCATGCTATCTGGGACTGATGTGATATGGAGTCCACAGAGTCCCATATCCCTGGATTAGATGGGAAAGTGTTCTAGCACATTGTAATACGGGTTTATGTGTTCAGGGATGACCTGTGAACCCGTAAGAGAAGGGACAGACTGTGCCCAAATAGCACCATCCTACAGAGCTACCGGGGATGTGGGTGGCGCTATGGATTAAGCCACAGAGCCTAGGGCTTGCTGATCAGAAGGTCGGCGGTTCGAATCCCTGCGACGGGGTGAGCTCCTGTTGCTCAGTCCCTGCTCCTGCCAACCTAGCAGTTCAAAAGCACGTCAAAGTGCAAGTAGATAAATAGGTACCGCTCTGGCGGGAAGGTAAATGGCATTTCCGTGCACTCCTCTGGTTTGCCAGAAGTGGCTTAGTCATGCTGGCCACATGAACCGGAAGCTGTATGCCGGCTCCCTCAGCCAGAGTCGTCTGCGACTGGACCTAATGGTCAGGGGTCCCTTTACCTTTACAGAGCCACCACTGGATGCAACCCTGTAGCTTGATGATGCTACATGTATAATGAGACTCCAAGGTCAAATTTCTTGGGACTCGAATGCACCTCCAGCTCATTAAGGTTTTTGCAAATAGCAATCATGGGTGTGTATGGATCTGGATCGAGACCCCAGGGCAGTGCTGTCATTGAAGGCTTAGCAGGCACCCCAGACAGGAAGCTAGGAAAAAAAACTTCAGTCTCTCTTAAGCAAAAGCAGAAGAGGAACCTTATGACTTCATCCATGAACCACTAAGTCCAGCGCCACCTAGGGACTAGATCATATTATTGCACAGTCCACCCAGGAGGAAAGGTTAACCCTTTTTTTCCTGTGCCATTTTCCTGATGAAATCACCCGCCTCCGTGATCCTGTTTCTTCTGGCTGGAAAGGTATGTGTGTCCAAGTCATGCTAGCAAGTAATATTTTACTTGCCATTCATGCTGCAACTGGAACAATATTATTTGCTAAACAGGAAGAGCTACACCCATTTAGGACTCATGGTTATTCAGTTTAATTTTGACAATGTTGCTTTTTTACTGCCTAATCAAGTGATCAGTCGGTTAAAGGCAGCACAGTTGATCAGCTGGAAATTTTAATCAATTGGCATTCCCCAGGTTTCATGTGTCAACAAGAACATTATTAATTTCCCATTTCTTCTCCCTCAGACTTGTAAAAGGAACCACCCACAGCTTGAAAACAATGCGCCCAGTGGCTTTCTTTCATTACAGTCTTGAAAAAATAGATCAGGAGAGCAGGGGAGCAGAGTGTCTCAAAAAAGAAATGCATATGGTTGATAATGTCTTTGATAAACAGCATTTTGTGAAGAATAAAGTGGAAATAAAGAGATTGGATACCCCCCCTCCATAGTGCCACAGTTATTATTATTACTATTATTCACTGAATTTATATACCACCCTATAGCCGGTTAAATATACTGCACAGGAAGGAAGGCGATGTAGAGACACACATGCCCAATGTTGAAGAAAACTCAGCCTATGCTTAACACACTAGGCTAATTGTTTGAGAACAGCTTATCTGTTTGGAAATGTGACCCCGTCAATATTGTCAAGGTCATTGGAACTGGTGTCAGTTTGCTAAATAGAGGATTGGCTTGTAAAATGAAATATGTTTTGCAAGAAACTCTGTTCCCATCACTTTAAGAACTGAAGCTAGAAATTGAGTATGTTGGAATAGAGAATGCTAACAATACTTTGTACCTATGTTGTACCTTGGAGAGGACGTGTAATTGTAAGCTACTTTGGGATCCAATGTGGACTGAAAAAAAGGTTATAATCATAATCAATCAATAAATAAAATAACCCAAAGATGAAACAAATACAAAAATGTATTCGTTAATGTAACAGAAATGTAAATGAGATATAGCATGGCCTCAAATGATTGAAATGAAGGTTGTGCACCAGCCACAAGATTTGCTTCAGACTCCAAATTGGCACTCTGGAAAAGAGCATGGTTGGGTGAGAAGCACTTTGGAAGTAGTTCAGTTTGTCTCAGCATCCAAATCCTGATTCAGAAAAACTTTAATTTACCACCTCTCCCCCCCCACAACCCACTCACTGTTGTGGGCAAAAAACCGGCTATAGCTACTACTACAACAACACAACATTGGATTTGCATATTCTTATTCCTACTATTACAATTTTAATTTATTACCTGCCTTTCACCCTAAGGAGACATATAATCCTGTCAGTTATAGGTCTCTCTCTGCACCCTGGCATTTTCGTTACATGGCAAGTTTGGGGATAATCATTTCTGCTTTTAACATCTAAATTTACAAAACACCTCAAGGTGCTTTAAAAGCCTTTGCTTCAGTTTGGGACAGTTCCATTTACATCCAGCCCCAAATCTGTCTAGAGCAGCAGACTTTGGTGTGGGATTTGCCCTAATTTACACACATCCTTAATTGATATGATTTAGTGCAGGGATGGGGAAGCAGTGTTCCTTCAAATATTTTGGGTTTTCCATGGCAAATGGTTAAAGATGATGGAAGTTGCAGTCCAACAACATCAGGAGAGCGGGATTCCCCATTCCTGATCTAGAGATATCCAAAATATTCTGACTGTTCTCGTAACTGGATGGTAATATTTACATGGGTGGGATTCAACTAATGAATCCCGTCAGTGGAAAGCCATGCATAAGGACTTCTGCTTGTGCAATAGGGCTTTCTTCAGCCTGAGGCAGTTCACACAATGACCTGTTCATAGCAGAAAAATGTGCTACAATCTGGAATCGTTCACACTTGTCTTCTATAAGAAAGGAAGATGATGGTGCTTTCAATAAAGATTGCTTATAGGTCCTGTCTCCCGCAAAGGTGGGTATGATCTCTTAATTAGGTTATCCTTCAGTAATAATAATAATAATAATAATAATAATAATAATAATAATAATAATTTATTATTTGTACCCTGCCCATCTGGATGGGTTTCCCCAGCCACTCTGGGTGGCTTCCATAGAAACCAAAAATACACTAAAATATTCAGTATTCAGTATACCTGAAGGAGCATCTCCACTCCATATCTATCTATCTATCTATCTATCTATCATCTATCTCTCTAAAATCCTGACCCAGTGATAATAATTTATAAAATACTTGATTGCATTTATATTTACTCGCAATCTCATTTATAGTTCAGAAGCCCCAAAATACTGTCTGTGGTTTAAGGCAGGATTCAGGACTGGGTAGCCTTCATTCGTAGAATGTTTAGGAAATGTGAGGGTTGAATTAAATAGATAGAGATGGATGGACGGAAGGACAGACAGACAGATAGGCAATGAATCCAGTTGGTGATCTTGGACACAGGAAAGAGCTTTTGAACCAGTGGACGTCTCCACTAATAGAAAAAGAGGGAATGCAGTTCACTCCCACCCCTGTAGTTCTTCACATCACCTTCAACCGTTTTGGAGTTTCCTCCAGTTTTCTAAGGCTGATAGGTGGGGATCGGTGGCTGTGTGAGAAAATGATAATCAGAAATGCCCTATATTCTTTTTCTCTATTAGCAGAGGCATCTGCAGGATCAAAAGCCCTTCTGTAAGCACAAAGACACCTATCAGATCTCGATCTGTATATGTATGTGTATAAGCATATTTTCTTTCTCATAGGCTAGTTTTGCAGATTCCAGACCTTAATAGGTCTCTTGACTGCACATCAAAACTCCATTATCACAAAGAACTGTTGCTAAATTCCTTTAAGACACTTACACTCATAGAGAAGTTTCACCAGCCTTCCTTATCGGAAAAGAGTCTTGGCTTGAAATCAAGCAGGCCTTTTGGGTTTAAAATCTGACAGGCTTCAAAGTCTCCGTTACGAGCACAAAAACTCAACCAATCCCATAGTGGAGTAGTGATTTTCCTGCCGCCCAGACTAGAGTATATCATGCTGTATGGATTAAGCAGCTTAGAGACTGGCAGCCATAAAGCATTCTCTGCAGGCTCTGATGTGGCTTTGGGGGGGAAAAGGTTTGGCAGGCACTTATGCCACATTTGCCTAACAACTAAAGCAAATTACTGGTAACATGAGAAACTTGCAAAGATCTCGCTGCCATTAAGAAGTTGCTTTTGAGACAACGGTATCAGCCCACCGATAAGGTATCATAAAAAACCCTACCATCTCCACCCTTTACCATCACCAGCTGCAGCTTAGTCAGAGACAGGGGAATGCCAGAAGGCAAAGATTCGTAAAAGGGAAAGGTAGATTGCAAAGAGGACTAGGCCATTTCAATTTGGAGTTGGGAAGAAAGGCAAGCGGAAGAGAAATCATGCAGAAAGGTCACTTGGCCTTGAGACGGTAAGGGTCACCCAGCGCAACAGCACAGAAAGACCAGAGGTGGGAAATGAAAACTACTGGCTCTCTCATGATACAAAGAGAGGACTTTAACAGGGTGGCATCTTTTGATGTAAAGAATATTTTAAAGAAGAGCCTGCTTTTATTTAAGACAGACGCACACACTTCATTTTTGACCCCCAAGGCGGTTGGTTTGTTTGTTTTGCAGAAGATTTAACTGAGTCCCTGTGCAAGGACTTCTGCTTCTGCAATGGGGCTTTCCCACCTCTCCTACCCCTGGGTGCCCTACAAAGTTGGCTCAGGATGTGTATGTGTGTCTGGAGACCCCTCAAAACATTGGATTGGGGAGGAGAGGGGGGAATCGTTCCATCTGGCAAGCCGAAATGCTTGTGCTGACAGTCAGCAGCGCACAATATTGAATTCCTCCCATAGGGTGGCATCCAATTAAAAACTTCTGTTTTCACAAGGATTTCCATTTGCGCGACAGAAATCCCCCTCCCTCTCCTTTCCCCGTGCCATGTCCAAATCTGCTCAGGAGAGCTGGAAGGACTCCCAGAACAGATTTTTTTTGGGGGGTGGGGGGTGGGAGTGGGCACATGGGGAGAGGAGAAAGTTGCACTGCGCAGCCAGAAGTCCTTGCACTAACGGAGCTACTTCATTTGATGCTTTTATTTATTTATTTATTTATTTATTTATTTTGTAACAATGTTTGTAACCTGCCAACTCATATGGGGGGGGGGAATCATGGCGGTGTACAATAAAGTCAATTAAACTTCTTGAAATGTCATAAGATGTTTGCCCATTAATTCAACAGGGCATTCTCTGATAATTGCGTGAACAGGCAGAGTCCCACAGATCCCGGGCGCCACGCCACCCCCGTCATGTGGAATAACGACTCAAGACAACGTGCTATGGGATTAAATTGGCCACAACTTTATTATATTTCAAATGTGGGTAGACCTTGGCTTAGGCATTGGGCGTTATCCCTCCCCAGTCCCCAGCCGGGGACATAGGGAACATCAGGGTTATCCAGTGTGTGGGGGGGGATGGGCCGGCTCTGGAGAACATATGTTCAAGCAGAGATAGCCGCCCCCGTTATGCCGCCGTCGCAGGGGAGAGCAATGACGACCTCTAGGCATAAGGTGAAAGCCTCTCCTCAAAACCCCCTTTAACGGGGAACCCTGGTATCGCAGCAACAAAGAGGAAGGGGGTGTGGGTCACCGCTGCATGCCCCCCCATTCAGGGAAGATAGACTAAAGGATTCCACACGACGGAGTGAGCTCCTGTTGCTCCGTCAAAACTAGTAGTTTGAAAGCATGCCAGTGCAAGTAGCTAAATAGGTACCACTGCGGTGGGAAGGTAAACGGTGTTTCCGTGCACTCTGGTTTCTGTCATGGTGTTCCATTGTGCCAGAAGCGGTTTAGTCTTGTTGGCCACATGACTCAGAAAGCTGTCTGTGGACAAACGCCGGCCCCCTCAGCCTGAAAGTGAGATAAGCGCTACAACTCCATAGTCACCTTTGACTAGACTTAACTGTCCAGGAGTCCTTTACCTTTTACCTTTTACCTTTTTAAATGCTTAATGCCCTTCACTTTGTCAATGCATCCTCCTCATTCAAAGACAAATCAATTGGCATTTTCCCTTTGCTTTCTAATTTTTCTCCCCAACTACAGGACATGGATACTTTATACCTAAAGCAGCCACGTCCAAAGTCCTTTTGGGGGGCCTTATCTGGCCTTCCAGTTCAACCCTAAAAATAGTTCAACAACTCTTTGAGGTAAAACCATAAAAAAGCTCACAAATTCAATCCTAAAAAAAAAAAAAAGGTTAACAACTTTGGTCGGCCCTCATGACCTTTCACTTCATCAAATCTGGCCCTCTTTGACACCACTGACCTAAAGCATTTACCTTAGTGCTTTCCAGTAGTGAACAGCACTGTGGGGCTGTGTCTTTTAATCGACCTCCTGACAAGGGAGTCACTGCTGTTTACCAGGAGGAAGATGGGAAGAGAAATGCAGCAGAGAGGTTAGTGCGGTGCCACGACACTGGTGGAGCCAACATGGCAGTGTTTGCACTGCACTGACCTTCCTGGTGCCTTGCCCATCGTGCTCTCCTTCCCAATAAGCAGCAACAACTCAGTTGTCAGGAGATCAGACAAGTGCTTCCAATCTATCCTGCCGTCCGCGGCTGGTACTGTGTACCCCAACCATCTCCCCCATGGCTCACAGAGATAATACTCAGTCCTGCTAATTAAGATCCTTTAACCTTCTGCATGCAAAGCATGAAGCTATGGTCCCTGTAATTGCACCCTTTTGCATTTATTATTCTTGTCTTTTATTCTAATTTTAAAGTCTTGGTATGTTTTGTAAGCTGCTCCCACCCCACCCCAAATTTTGTGTTTTGGGTGTTTGTAGTAAGCCACTTTGGACACTGTGGGAAAGTGGCATATAAATTGATTAAGCTAATCATGAACATTAATTGCCTCCACGCTAATAATGTCTCCCTTTGCCCCTAATAATGCTCTTCAAATGGAAGTGATTTCCTGTGGGGAAGAAATACAGCCGTGTGTGTACATTTGCCCTCACTCTCACCCCTCATATTTATTTATTTACGTTTTCATTTTAAAAAATACTTTGTGGTTTTCTTTCGATATTTCCCAATTAAGTTGCCTAAGGTAGGGAGAGAATGGCAAGATCCTCTCAGTATATTTTTTCTATAATTCTTTACAAGGTCCTCTGTGACTTTGGTTAATTGTCACATTGCATAGCCCTTTTATTTTTGTTCTTTAAAAAAGTGAAAGAGAACCTCATTTACCTTAGGTATAGGAATTTTAATGTAGGAAGCGAGATGGTTTATTCATTCAAAAAATATTTTATGGGAACTTGTTCCAAGCTGAAGGAACTCATGTAAAAACTCACTCCCTGGGGAACCACTTTCTTGCAGTCTCACATCTGAAACAAAGGAGGAATTTTCTTTGGGTAAACTCAAAGCAGAAAGCTCAGGGTCACAAACTAGGATTTCCCTCGCCTGCAGGACAGCTTGTATACTGAAAGGCCCTCCATTTCCAGCAGATGTACGGAGACTCTGTTATATAACCCACACATTTGTTGTCCTGTCAGGCCAGGATGTGGAGTCAACCTCAGTGAAATTAAGGACAGCGAAAGGTCCTCCTCAGATCACAAGACTTTAATGAATTCAGAATGGATATTAAAGACAGCTCTGGAAGGTGGTCTAGTCACTCATTATTCTCCTGTGGGAAGGCTTTAGTGGTTAAACCAGATTAGCTAAATGCTGTCATTTCATAAGTCACTTGTGATTAAGAGCAACCAGTCTGGTTTTGTGCTCCCCTTCTTCAAAGAGAAGCACATGAAGCAGGAATGAAGGGGTGGGCGAGTATTTATTTACTAGATTTACACTCCTCTGCCAATGTGCTCAAATCAAGTTTACAAAAATAATGCCTTACAACAACATGGCTGATGTTAAAGTAAAAAAAAAAAAAAAAAAAAAAAGGAATAATGTGGGAAGGGGGCAAATTTATGCAGGGTTACATGGAGCAAATCCCAGGAAGCCCAGTGAGACTTATTTCTGAGAAATAGGCACAGGATCAGGCAGTCAAGTTCCAGTTCTTAGGTTGCATACACATTATAGGCTTAAAGCACACCCAAAGCACGTTTAGCGCTGTGGTCTAAACCACTGAGCCTCTTGGGCTTCCCAATCAGGTCAGCGGTTCGAATCCCCACAGTGGAGTGAGCTCCCGTTGCTCTGTCCCAGCTCCTGCCAAACCTAGCAGGTGGAAAGCACGCCAGTGCAAGTAGATAAATAGGAACTGCAGTGGCGGGAAGGTAAATGGCATTTCCATGTGCTCTGGTTTCTGTCACGGTGTTCCGTTCACTAGAAGCAGTTCAGTCATGCTGGCCACATGACCCAGAAAGCTGTCTGTGGACAAACGCTGACTCCATCAGCTTGAAAGTGAGATCAGCGCCTCAACTCCATAGTCACCTTTGACTGGACTTAATCGTCCAGGGGTCCTTGAACATTTTTTTTTTACCTTCCTTCAAGAGTGTGGTGCTTGGCCCCAGCTAGGACAGTGGTGGGGGCCCTTATCGCCACACCTGTCCATCTCTGATACAGCCAGGTGGTATGGCCATAGATAGGAGGCGGGGATCTTATCTAAGCTCAAGGGCCACATTCCTTCATGGGCAGCTTTCCAGGGACTTCCAATGGCCTGGCTCAACAGAGGGCAGCTTAAAGTTCTCCAAACTGCGGTACAGCTTCAGTTTTTCATTCAGTGGGTCCCTGGTAGCTCCAGTTGCAGAGGATCTCCGGTGGGACTTCTACCTGAGACCTGGCTGCCAGTTGCAGTAGACCAGGGTCCGTGATGATGAAGTCAAACAACAACTTGAGGTTATCAGGTTCCCCAACCCCAGAGTTGAAAATGTTGAGCTATGTGGACCAACGGTCTGACTCATGTTTATATGTTGTTATTTTACATGTTCTCTTAACACCTTGTGTTTGATAGCCAGTTAAGTAGGAAATGTACTTCAAATTAGGATTTGAACCAAGTCTGTGTCTAATCCACTTACCAGTTTTTAGCTTCTCTACCTTAATCATTTCATCCCTGAGGCTCCTGGTCTGCTGGCTGGCATCACCAACTGCCTTTGTTCTTTCCATTTCAATAACACTTCTAACCTCAAAATATGTGGAGGAGTAGAAAAATGTCCCTGCGGGTTTCCTATGGCTGTCACCCCTCTTCATCAGACAAATGAAAAGATGTTTCAGCTTTTATTGCATGTTTTTTTCTTGATGTCTGCAATTGAAAAATTATTGAGACAGGGCACAGATGTTCGGAAGGTTGGCATTTTATTCACATGAGTGTTAGAGTGGCACAGTCTGACTCACACATCTAAGACGCTACCTCACTGGGATCCTGATCCTGATCTCATTGTATTCAACAGGCCAAGAATTGATGAGTCAGAAACAAGGAACAAAGAACCTTTGAAGAAACATGGTTCCAAGAATTCCTGGCAGTCTCAACCCTAGTTGTAAAGATTACAGAGAAGACCATCTAGACAAAGTTACAATGATATTTGTGTGTGGGAAAAGACTGGAGAAGAAAAAGTCTAGCATGTAGGGAGGAGGGCAGAAAACCCTCTGAAACAGATATTGGAAAATGTGGAAAATACAGCTGCTGATTCGCAAATTCATATGGATCTGAAAAAATAAACACTGACTTTTCAAGCAAAAGCCACTCTGCCCCAACCTCACCTTTTCTTTAAACTGCAGTTGCTGATAGACCAGCCTTAGGGTAAGGTTGAGTTCAAGCAATCAGTTCTAATGACAGCAAGCACTTGATGGGCTTCTCCCAGCTTGTCTGCCACTGTGAGGTTATTGTCACAACTGATAAGAGAGGTGATCCTTGACAGCTAATCTGTACTTGCTTAAACCATTTTATAGCTATTCTTCTGCTTTACCTCTATTTCTCTGGCAAGGGTGTGAACCGATATGGGTTGATATTTGGATGCTAAGGGACCTTACTATGCATCGATCTGATATTGCACAACCTCCAGGAATGGTGGAAAAGGGAAGAAGTACAGCTTTGGGCCTCTGCCCAGCTGGAATCTTTCAACATGGTCACCCAGTGAGACCCTGGATAGTTGACTTGCACCATGCCAGGACTCAACTCTGGGGGATTCCCATGGAAGGAGTTTGGGCATGTCCCAATCATGACAGAGTGTCATTCCAACAGCAAGGGCTGAGTGGAATGAGGAACTGGATCCTTGCCCTACTGCCATGGAAACCCAACTTTCTGCTGTAGTTAATAAAGTTTTGGCTTGGTTTTACCCAACACCTGTGTCCCGTCTCAGTTACTTCACTGCTCTTGCAGGGCCTCAGATTGTGCCTGCCTGGGCAACCTGGCTACGCCTCTGGAAATTGTAATATTTAGTTTATTTACAAATACACAGGTTGAACATAGCTGGAGATGCAGACAAACTATCCAATGCATTGCTTTTGAATCAAATTTCCAGGGAGGCAGCCAGCATCCTGAGGTACCAAACTCTGTATATGCTGTGCAAAGAAGATCAGATCAGAAGAGTCTTAATTTGCATCAGTCACTAGCCATAGCAATAAAATAAAATAAGATATACTGATGATAGAGGTAAAAACTTAACTATACAAAATACATTTGGGAGGTTTACATCAATAATCAAATAATAGATCTTATTCTAATTGCCCCCACTAAAAAACCTTGCAGTTTTTGCTGTCACCTGATCATCTTGATAGAAGGCATATCGCCAAAGAATTGATGCTTTTGAATTATGGTGCTGAAGGAGACTCTTGAGAGTCCCATGGACTGCAAGAAGATCAAACCGATTCATTCTGAAGGAAATCAGCCCTGAGTGCTCACTAGAAGGACAGATCCTGAAGCTGAGGCTCCAATACTTTGGCCACCTCATGAGAAGAGAAGACTCCCTGGAAAAGACCCTGGTGTTGGGAAAGACGGAGGGCACAAGGAGAAGGGGACGACAGAGGACGAGATGGTTGTACAGTGTTCTGGAAGCTATCAGCATGAGTTTGACCAAACTGCGGGAGGCAGTGGAAGACAGGAGTGCCTGGCGTGCTCTGGTCCATGGGGTCACGAAGAGTCGGACACGACTAAATGACTAAACAACAACAACGATCATCTTGATCTGCTAGAAGAAAGGTCACTGTAGCAATGGCTGAGTGACCCAGTATGGGCAATAGTAGAGCGGTAATAACCTCACTCCTCAGATCTTTATAAAGAGTGCAAGCCAGAAGCACATGAGCCCCTGATACAATACCGCCATCTCCACATGGACATAACCATTTTTCCAGCAGAATTTTTTTGAAATCGACCCTCAAGTGCAGCTGAAGGCAGTATATTGAATCCCTCAAGAGCAAAAACACATCTATATTTTGGAATAGTTTCAAAATCTCTAGGTAGGAAATAATCATACCATGGACAAAATTTCCTTATTCGGGCCAAATTATTCTATCTCTGTGTGAAGAAGTATTTCCTTTTGTCTAGCCTAAATTTTCTGCCATTCAACTTTGTTGGATGACCCCAGTCTTCTATTAAAAAAGCCCAACAACTTTGTTTATCAGTGTTTGAAAATAATCTCCAAAGAAGATGGCAAAGCCAGTCCCACGCTCCTGCTGATGCATTTGCACTGCACTGACATCCCTGCTACCTTACCCCTACCTCTCTTCATCTTGGTATGCAGCAGCGACTCAACCAGAGAGAGGTCAGGTAAGTGACACAGCCTCTCCGCACCATCTGCTACTGGCAGCATCCCAGAATGGCAGCTTGCTGAGTCTGGCACATGTGAGCACACTTTGAGGAGCAAACCAGCAGGCTACAGGTGAAGAGAAGAACAGCAGGCAATGTTGGCATGGCATCTTAAATGCATGTGCCCCCTGCCAAGGGATGGATTAGGAAAGGGAGACCAGATGGCAAGAGGCAAGTGGTTGAAGCTACAGCAGTGTGCATGAGCCTGTATTGCAGCCTAGTTAGCCAGCCTGCAGTTGACTGCAAATTCTGGACCAGATAAGATAGGGTTGCCATACATCCAGATTTCCCCAGACATAACCGGCATTCAGTCCTCGCAAACAGCGTCACTGAAATGACTGGGGAAATCCAGGTGTATGGCAGCCCATGTCAGTAGTGTAGATTTTGACAAAGTGTATTCTCCCTGAAATGAGAGCACGTGTTGTGGTGGGGTCTGCCAACCCTCTGTTGCCAAGCAGGTTAAATGGTGAATGCCTGATGCAACGATTGGATGACCAGGTTGCTGGGGCAAATTGCATGTTGCAAATTGGGTGGGTGGGACCAAAGGCTTTAAATATTGGGGCACTCCGCTTTTGCTTTCTCTTTCGCTGAGTGCATCGGATCACCCACCCGCCCGCCCTGTGTTCCGGTTGACCTTGCTATGCCTGTCATGGGGTCGTCTGCCGTTGGGGCAGGGGCCTAGTAGGAATTTTGTCCATTTGGCTGATTGGCTGGTGCCATTTGGTTTTTGTCTACTACTTAGCAATTCATCACAACTTGTAAGGTTGCGGTTAGGCATTGGTTATAAAAAATTGGTGGAGGGGGGTCAGGATAGGCTGGGCCTGCCCCTCCAATGGTGGTGTGGAAGGGAATTCCGTTAAAGGAATCCTGGGGCTTTCCACGATTTCATCCAATCCCTGAAATGGGACCAGGGCCGGCAAGCCTTGGGGAGCAGGTTGGGTGAGCAGTGAGGGACTGTTGCTCAGCTCAACTGATCCCCAATATTGTTTTCCTTTCTCTGGCTTCTGAGGGAGTTCGGATAGTCAGTTCTGTCCCAGGCAGGGGGACAGATAGTCATAACCAATGCCTAAGCAACCACTCACAGATTATGCATTTAATAAAGTTGTGGCCAAAATTATGCCAAAAACCTTAAACAAAAATTATGTGTGATTTGTGAATTATTTTGAGGGGTGGCTTGGGGACCTCCACACGCAATTTTCAAATTTCATGAAAGACTCAACAACTTTGCAAAACAAAAAAACCCTCAACAACTTTTGTTTCTGGATTTTCACTTTTTGAAATATGGCAACCCTAAGATAAGTTCTTCCAGGGGAAATAATATTCAATTCTCAGTATAGATAAGCATTACAAGCTGACAAATTCATATCCTAAAACAGATGATTCTGAGAATCAGCGACAGCGCTGCATCTAGTTAGCATTTGCCTCAGAGTAGGAAAATAAGAAGAGTCTCCTGAATCATGCCAGTGGCCCAATACTTCAAAAGTGTTGTAAGATCTCAAGCCCACTGTTCAAGAAATCATTGAATTCTTTACAAAATTCAAGATGATTGTTCCAAATTCCTCTTGAAGAAAATGGGGGGGGGGATGGGACATTGGTAGCATGTGGCTTACCAGTTTTGTTTTGTTTTTCTTTTCGCTGACACCAGAAAAGGGAGTTCCACTTTCCTGAGAAAGGAAGGTGGAATGACTCATACGGCACTGAGGAAAGCAAGACCCACACTGGATAAAAGACAAAGAAAATAATTCCTAGCATGAGCAACGCTGGCTGTGCCAAAGAAAGGATTTAACAGAAATGGAAATCCCCTACCTGACGGTAGAAGGTAAAAGGACAAGTGCAGCAAGTTTTCTCCTTCCAGTGTTTTAAAAGAGAAACCAGGTGCATTTGGACATTTGACAACTGAGCTAATCCTATTATTTGTGCCAACCTTGGCATTTCTGATCCAGGAATCATTAATTATGTGGGTTAAACAGTAATATCGTTTTCACATATTGGACTTAGTAGGTTTAGAGAATTCGTACATGAGCTAAAGGTGTGATCAAGGCAGGCACCTGCATGACGCTTACTCTGGAGGAACCCCACTGAAAGGACTTCCCACACTGTATCACCAAAGCAGGGGCTAAAATTAACAGGCAAATTCCTCCCGAAGGATGAGATGAGAATAGGTTGGGACTTGTATTACCAGGCAGTCAGTTGAAGTTTGCTGAAGTTGCACCAGCAATGGTGGCTTGGTGCAACATAGCAATCTTCACAATGGAACTGGAAGGAAAGAGATCAGGCATAGGCAAACTCGGCCCTCCAGATGTTTTGGAACTACAACTCCCATCACCCCTGACCATTGGTCCTGTTAGCTAGGGATGTTGGGAGTTGTAGTCCCAAAACATCTGGAGGGCCAAGTTTGCCTATGCCTGAAAGAGATCATAGCAAGAGCACCACATGAACAGGATCTGAGCCACTAAGAATTTTGACAAGCAATGGCACCGGGATTTTCTGAGTTTCCTGGTTTCGAATTCGTCTGGCTTGTAATTTCCTACAGAATGGCTTGTCTAGCCTGAAATGCTAAACAAGATCCTGAACTGCCTCAGTCAACATTCAACAGGCCAGGCGCCCAAAGCCAACAGAATAGCAGGCTCATGGGCAGAAGCACTTTAGCATTAACCCCACAAGCTTGAAGAAATTGCGTGCCAAGGCCC